AGATCCAGCAGGTCTTCAATGTCGCGCATCAGGCAGGTCGTGTCGAGAACTACCTGTAGGACCCACCAGTGAGGCAGTTCCGTGAGCGCCATGCCGTCTCTTGCGTGCCACCTCTGCTGTGGGAGTGTGAGCATCCGCAGCAAGATGCATTTCGCTCGAGCAGAGGATGGCTGCCCGTTAGTAGTCTCATGCAGAGGGAGAGCCCAGTGCGTCGCTTAAGTGATGCCCGTTGCTCGTGCAAAGAGGCCAGCGTGGGCTCTGATGGTGGTTGCTCTGACAAAGTTTATAATTCGCGAGCACGCTCTAGGCTTAGCAAGCCTGTGCCAGTTCCTTGCCCCCCTCCTCCCTCCACGCAACCGTAGGTTCCTGATTGTTCTATTGGCATCTGCAGTTGAAATATTCAGACTGTCCTCGGATCTGTCCATTCGAACCAATCCAGCTTCCGTTCTAAGTTGTCTCACATCCGTTCCTTGCTCAGTAAGTTCCAGGTCCTTGGGGTCCAGGAGCCCCACGGTGGCGAGGGTGGTATCGTGCACTTCCAGAGAGAAGTTTGGATGCACCAAGTTTTTGGCAGCTTCTGTGAGTCTCCTTCTGCAGGTGGCAATCTCCTTCTTGTCTCTCGTGAGTTTCTCCGCAGCTGGTCACAGTGTGAATTTGTGGCGGTGGTTCCTGGTCGCATCACTCTATTGCGCGCGTCCTCCGAGAAGGGCAACTTGCAGTTCCTCAACCTCCACCTCGATCCTGAGTGGGGCACCAATGAGCTCAGAGATGTGTTTCTGAAGATCAAGAAAGTGCTCGGGAAGCCAGATGTTGTCACGACCTTCGTTTTCGGGGACTTTCACTTCTTGGAGGTCGGGGGGTCCAGGGCCAATGCAACCGCGGGCCTTGATGGGCCCAGCACCAGCCGTCTGGCCTCGATGGTCTCGTCTGTGTTTCCGTATTTAGCTGAGGTTTCCCAGGAAGATGATACTCACCGTCTTCTGCGTGATGGAATTTGGTCGTACCGTCGATTACACCGCCTTTGCTGTTTATTGCCCACTCAGGACATCCTCGACATGTGCCCGAGAACGGGCGTCGTCTGGCCTGCCTCCGACATTGCCAAACCCTCGGATCACGTCCCTGTGTTTCTGAAGCTGGAGCCTTGGAGACCCCAGGGTCCGACACCGATTCTTGTTTGGGTGGCCAACCATCGTGCGTTTCAGGAAGTGGTCCAGGACCTTATCGTGCCGGAGGAGTTAGGCCAGAACCTAGACGAGCAGTTGCAGGGCATCAAAGATGTATTCTATTACGCTGCTGGGCGCGTTAAGGCCCATATCGCCAGTCAAGGAGCCGAGTCGCTTGAGGAACGAGTATCTTGTTGCTTAAATTGGCCCGGGCCGCTCGTGGAGGGCGCTTTCATAGTGCCAAGAAAGCGATCTCTGGTTATTCTGCCTTGGGGAAGTCTTATGATTTGGAGTTGAAGATTTGGGTGGACCGCGGGGCTTTCGATTTGCACCTTGGGAGTTTGATGAGAGATTTATGTTCCAAACGCGAAGCGGCGCTCTGCTCAAGTATTGAGAAGTCTAAGGCGGACATCGCCGAGGCAAAGTGTTCTTCTGCTGCACAGCGTATTCGCGATATGTCTCGTGCCTGGAGGTCTTGTGGCCGCAGGATTTGTTTACAGCAGGTCACAGACGTTGATGGCCGGCATTACTCTGATGGACGGAGGTGCGCCGAGATTCTTGCTATGTACTGGGAGTCAGTCTTCCAAGATGCTCAGGCTAGCGATGAAAGCATTGAGGACTTATGTTCCGAGATCATCCCGATCCCCCCCCCACCCGTTCCACTGCCAAGGCAGGGATTTAGCGTTGTATCCTTGGGTGATCCCCGAAAGCATGTTTCAGGATATTCTCCTTTGGAAGAAAAACACCGCCCCTGGGCCTGATGGAGTTCCCTATGCCGCCTGGAAATCTGCTGGCGATTCCGCTCAGCATATCCTGTACGAAATCTACTTGAGGATGATGCAGACTGGGGGCCTCCCTCCTGATTTTAATGTTGCGAGAGGTGTATTTCTGCCTAAGGACTGCCCAGGCGGTATCGACACCGCTGCTCGTACGCCAGCTTGCACGAGGCCCCTGTCGTTATCGAACTCTGACAACAAGATAGTCACCAGCTGCGTCGGCTTTGCGGTCTCAGAGGTTGCGAAGGACACCGCTGAGGTTTGCCAGAAAGGTTTCGTCAAAGGCCGCCAGCTTCTGGACAATGTGTTTTCCCTGGACGCCGCTTTCCTGAAGTGGGCCATGATGGACGTTTCCCCTCGGATCGGTTCGGCGCTTTTTGATGTGAAAAATGCTTTCCCCAGTGTCATTCACAAATATATCTGGGCTGTTTTACGGCGCGTTAATCTCCCTGGGAATGTTTGTCGGGCGATCAAGTCGTTATATTCGGATATGAGTATGAGCATTGGCACCCATGGTTGCGAACCTGTATATATTGCGGTGAGAAGGGGTGTTAAACAGGGCTGCTCCTTTTCTGGATTAATCTTCTGTCTGTGTATTAATCCGATGTTGGTGAGAATCCGTAAAAGATGTTCGAGTTCGCCCATCGAGATGGGGGCTTTCGCGGACGGCATAGGCATTTGTTGTCGTGACGTGCTTCAGAGCCTTCCGACAATATTGAGGGTGCTCTCAGACGGTGGCAAAGCGTCTGGCCTTATGTTGAACCTGGCCAAGTGCGTGCTGGTGATTCCCTCACCAGCCTTTTGTGAATCTGTAGTTGATGACCTTCAGAGAGTGGGTGTGAACATTCGCCAATTTAAGACCCTCAAGAATGGGAAATATTTGGGCGTGTACCTGGGCGTCGAGGGAAGGGGGGAGAGTTGGAAGCAAGTGATTACTACCTTGGGGAGGCGGACGCTGCAGGTGAAGCAGATGGGGGGAGGCTTATCGTTTAGCGTCTCTGCATGCAACATTTACGCCTTGCCCGTCGTGAGCCACGTGTCGCAAGTCTGGGACCCCCCCAAATCTGTTCGCCTCGCGGAAAAGAACATTCTCCAGAGGCTCACCTGCTCTCCGAGGTTTGCCTTCCCTCCTGGGACCTTGCATCAGCTCAGAGATTTGGGCCACCGTGTGGAGGCACGGGGACTGGAAGTCTATGCCCGCGCATGCATGCTGCGCGCCGCCATCAACTCTGACAAGTTCCATGAACTGAAAAACGAGTTACAGGAGTTTGCAGACTCGGACGAGGCTGCGGTTGCATGGAGGTATAGCCCCTATGCGAAGGATTCCCTATATCTACGGATCTGGGACCTGTATAATCAGTTCTTCCAGATTCACCGCCCAGTGGACTGCAAGCCCAAAGCTGTCCAGGCCGAGGTGACCAAGTTGTTGCATATGAATCGACGGCGTGCATTTCCGAGTGTCCATGATGTTATTTGTTCCAGGGTTGAAACAATGGGCCCCTGATATTATGGCTGCCGATGTGTTCTTGACGATTATCCGTGTTGGTGTTGCTGGTCCCAAACTTCCTGGATATGTTTTATCTGCTTGTGTGAAAACTAAATTTAATGGATGGACTACCACTCGTCGGTATAGACAGGCGGTGCAAGTATGTGGATTCGGCTGTTACGCCGTGAACGGGGACGACCTACTCCATTATTCGATTTGCCCTGTGTTGGTCCAGAATATTCGGTGTGTTCTTCCTTGGCTTCCTGAATGTTGGGGAGATCGGCCTCTGAGTTCCATCCTCCCCCATCTCTTCCTCGCTCAGTCCCGTGAGTGCTTGCTGTCACAATTTGTCGCTGTGGATCTTATGCATAATTGTTTCCAGATTTTTCGGGCTTCTCCCTCTGTCCGTATTACTCCTGCGTATACCTCTTCCTTAGTTAAGGCCAGATTGCGTGTCGGTGCAAGGCGGAGCAAAGTCATTCAGGCCCTGGGTCGGGGCGAATTGATGTCTTAGGGCTGTGGCCTTGCTTGTTTAGTCTAGTTGTACCTGCAGGTTCCTGAATTGTCTCGGCACTCAGGTAGGTCAGGGTGTCGTTAGAATCTCCCTTGCGCGCGGCGGCGGCCGCCGTCTCCGTGGTGATGACGGCGGTCGCCGAGGACCGCCCCGCGCGCGTGCTCTGGGTGCTGGACGTCGGACCTCTCTCTCCCCCCTCTTCGGTGGGTGCGCTTCCTCCACCTCCTCATCCTCCTCTCTCAGTGGTATCCCGCTTGCTCCCCCCCTCCTCACCGTCATCATCGCTTCTTGCGATGGTAAGATTAATGTCTCTGCCTAGTCAGACTCCCTATGTTTCGACCTCGCATTCATCTTTCTCATCGTTGTCGACCTTCCCATGTCCAGCATCAGAGTCGCCCTTGTGGTTCCTCTCTATATCTCTCTTTATTCCTCTTTCTCGCTCTCTCTCTCTCTCTCTCTCTTTCGCTCTCTATGTCCTCCATGTTATGTCTTTAGTTCTCTCTATTTCCCCTACATGTATATCCCTTTATCTCTCCCTCTTCCTCTCCCTCCTCCATCCCTCCTCCTCCTCTTTCTCCATGCTCCACCTCCCCAAGCCATACGTATATCATCCGTCTCCTCTGCCCTCTATCGTCCTCTCGTTCATCCTGTTTTCTCTTCTCCTAATGCTCCCTGCCGTTCTCCTCGACGTCACTCTGACTCGTCCAGGGGAGAGGGGTGAATCAGGGGGGGACGCGGGAGAGTCGGCTGGGGACGGGGGTCGCGATGGTTCTGGCCCAGGAGCAAGACGAAATCGCGCCGGTTCTACACGCACACCTTCGATTGAACATAACACAAGAGAGATGTAGGCGGGGGAGCGCGAGGGAGCAGGAGGGATGCGGAAGGAGGGAGGAGGAGGGAGGTGGGAGGAGGGAGGTGGGAGGAAGGAGGAGGAATGAGGACGGAGGAGGGAGGAGGAAGGAGGGAGAAGGGAGGAGAGAGGAAGAGTGGAGGAGGGAGGAGGAAGGAGCGAGGAGCGAGGAGGGATGAGGGAGGAGGGGGGGAGGAGTCCCGCTCTGCAGGCCTTGAGGTGCCAGTGATGGGGCACCACCTGTCCGGGGACCCCTTGGACGAGTCCTGCAACGAATGGCGGCTCTTCCACGGGACCCGCCGACGACGGCCACGATAGGGGGCCACATGCGAACCCTACCCGTACCCCCCACGTTTTCTGAGGGTGCAGGGGTAGGGTTCGCATGTGGCCCCCTACACGACAGCAGACAGGGGCAGGAGGATGATTGTTTGGGCCTGGTGCAGGATTGGTTCTGAATCGCGATTGGCGCGGCGCCCCGCGCCACCGTGCGCTTTCTGTTCGCTCTCTCTCCCTCTCTTCCCCTTCCGTCTCGCTCTCAGCTCCCCTCCTTTTTCTCCTCGCTTCCTTGCCCCCCCCCCGACGACGGCCACGACGATGGGGGTACGGTGGGAGCACAAGATAGGAGATCGGCTTCGCCAACAGGTTCCCCACCGAAAGTGTGCTCCCCCGGGGGCCTCAGAGACCCACGGGAGCCCTGGGGGCACTCCCAGGACCCTCGACGACCGACGAAGACCAGGGCTAGCGCTTTCTCGTAGCAGGATGTGCCGTGTACTTTGCGCCTTCGGTCCGGACGGGGCGAGGGTTTGTTGGGGCATGGCTCGGAGGAGGAAAAGGTACCCACACCTCTACCCCCATCGCCCGTTTCCCCCTTTTTGGGCCACCGCTGGATTCGCCTCGAAATTCTTGGTCAGAACGCACCCTGGGAGAGGTCCCGGGGGTAGCGGTATCGGTACCTTTTGGTTTCCCCAATGGCGGCGGAGCTGGTTCTGGATCGAGAACGGGCTGGGGAGCGGCAAGAGCTCGTCTAGCACTTGGCATCATCTTGGCAGGGTTCGCGTGCTTGTGCTGGGAATACCGCAGCCCGGATTGCTTGGACGCGCGAGCGGATCGCTTCCGCCGCGCCGCGACGGACAAAAAGTGTTTGTGCGTGGACATTCGTGCAGAGTTGCTCTTGGAGGATCGTCATGTTGGCCCGGCACTTTCAGAAGGGTTCGGGCCCGAATCTCGACGCTAGGAGGTGCAGCCACGACAACCGCACACGAATATATACAAGAGGAGGAGGAGGAGAAGGAGGAGGATCACGCGACAATCGCTGGAGTCGTCACATGCAAGAGGAGGCGGAGGGCGGAGGCCGACGAGAAGGAGACACGAGCAGGACGAGGGAGGAGGAGGAGGGGGAGGAGGAGGAGGGACAGAGGGGGAGCAGGAGGAGAAGAGAGGAGGAGGAGGAGGAGGGACACGGCGAGGGAGGGGGAGGAGGGCGAGAGCGAGGGAGCGAGTGACGGAGGGAGGCGCAGAAGGAACCCGGAGCCCGCTGCGTGTTGGCCCGAGCCGCTTTGACATTCGAGACTTGTTGCGCGCCTGGCGGGTTGCTATGAGGTCGGGGGGGCACGCAATCGAGCAGTGGCGAAGCGTCTTGGCTTTCCTACAGGCTCACCAAAGCATGTTCTAATAACCTTTCGTGGTATGCATGAAATGTCGTTAGAGCATGTCTGGCTGGGGCGGTCTTGTTTAAACCCTCGGGATTCTGGCCTGAGAGAGTTGTTGTTGTTCTTAGAACTTTTGTGGTTCTAAGAATGACTCGTGGTAGGCCTATAGGAATGCCTGGACGGTCGGTCTCTGCTCAAAACCAGCATTCGCCGTGAGAGCTTCTCACAATTGCGGTCACTCGTTTTCGCCTCCCCACCGCTCTGCTGACGCTGAGCGCTCACTGGATCAACATCACAGCGTTTTGGCACCGAGGCATCCGGGGCGGCCGAATGTCGTGTGCCGGTCTGCTAGCGCCAAGCTCTGGTCGCCTCGAGGAGGATTCGTTTGCGTGTTTGTTTCAAGCGGGGCGCGGTTTCCGGATTCTTTTTGAGAGAATGCCAGAGATCGGGGGCGGAAAAGAGGGGGGTGATGACTAGGGGGGGGTGGATATCATGGCGGGGCCATGATATTTCCCCAGATCTCATGGCGCCTCTTCTTATTTCATTACGTCCCTGGCCCCCCCGCTGGGCCGCGCACATGCCGCCGGCCATGATTTGCGCCGCCCCTTCTTGGACACCCCCCTCTTGACCGCTCCCGACAGAGAATATCAGACCACTTCGGACACGGAAGCTTGGATCGCCTCGGTTCAGTTCAGGGGGTCGAATGGGACTTTGGGCAGAGCGCGGCCCTGGCTCTGCAAGCCCGCCGTCCTGTTCCAGAAGCTGGGCGCGGGCGGCATCGGGCCCGACCTCCATGTCGGACGGGCCCAGGACAATGCTTCAGTCGAAAGTGATTTGCAGGTCGACCCTGCCAAGCCAAGGGTACCCATGTGTCCTTTGTTTCGCGACGCATGTCCTCTACATTCATATGGTAATGTGGCCCTCGGAAGGGTCTTGTGTCCTCTCGTGAGTCCTCTCCGATCAAGCTCGACTGTAGATCGTTCCAGAGCGTTCTGGAACGCTCTCAGAGCGTTCTGGAGCCGCGGCGCCCGACATGTCGTCCAGACCCGCCAGCCCCTAGAGATCCTTGATTCATCCTCATATCCGAACTCGTCTTAGTCCTGCCTTCGTCTGAATGCTACCGAAGCCTCGTGGTGCCTTGCCACGGGAGGCCCCTGGCTGCACCCCAAAGCCTCGTGGTCCGCAGGCGGCTCCCGTACAGCAGCGCATGTGCCTCCCAGGCCTCCCCTCCCCCCCCCTCCTTGGCCTCCCCGCACCAGCCGATCCTGTTGCGTGCTCATTGTATTCGGCCATTGCCGCCCATGCACGGCCCGGTGCCATGGTGGAAGAGACAACCACAACCGCAGGGCCGAGGTACCGCTCCTGGCGCGTCCCCCAAGGCCGACCCCGACCCCGCAGCGCTGGGGGCTCGGGGTCGGCCTTCGGGGGGCGCCAGGGGCGGCTCCTTCGGCGCAGCGATTGCAGTTGCCTCGTCATCGCTCCGGACGGTGGGCTCGTGCTCCCTGCCAGCGCACAGGTCGCTGATTTCCGACTGCGCCCTCACTTCTCGTGAAGGCCGGGATTTGCACAGCGCAGCGGGTCCGGCGCAGCGTGTGTCAGGCTTTGTTGGCAGCCCCCCCCTCCCTTGTTCGTTGTTGTTCAAACCCGAGCTCGTTGACATCCGACCCTCGATGTATCCTCGTCCTCCTCCTCCCTCTCTCCTCTTCCACCTCCTCCTTATCCTCCTTCTCGTCTCCTCCTCCTCCTCCTCTCCTCCTCCTCTCCTCCTCCTCCTCCTCCTCCTCCTCCTCCTCCTCCTCCTCCTCCTCCTCCTCCTCCTCCTGCTCCTCCGCCTCTCTCGCCCGTCCTCCTTTGCGCGAGCATCTCAAGCAGTTCTGGCGCGTCAGGAATGCCCTGCCTCGAGGGATCGAAGCCACCAGCTTCGAACGATCGGCCAGCCAGGGATAGGAGAGAAGAGCAGAAGTTGGGGGGATGGGGGGAGGAGGAGGGGGGAGAAGACGGAGGCGGGACAGGCCGCCACTGCTCCCCGACCCAGGACCTCCTGGCAGCGGGGCTCGGAGATATGCGGCCTGAACTTTCGGTCGTATTTGGCGGGCACAGGGGCCACGTGGAAGAAGAGCGGGGAGGACCGCGGCGAGCCGCTCTACGGCAGAGGCTGATCATCGAACTCGGGGCCACATCTCGCTCCCATCGCCCATCATTACTCCAACCTCCTCATCGTTATCATCGGCCTGTCTCTCTCCCTGCCTTCTCCCTCAAGCCCTCCCTTCTGGCTCACCATTTCTCTTCTTCCTCTCCTCTCTCTAATTTTCTTTCCCGTTCCAGTCATCTGTCTTTCCAGGACAAATATCCTCCTCCTCCTTCACCTTCTCCTCTCAGATCCTTCTCCTCATCCGGCTCATATCCCTTCTGCTTCTCCTCGATATATATATATATATGTATATATATGTGTATGCGTGTGTGTGTGTGTGTGTGTTCCTCCCCCTCCTTCTCCTCTTCCTCCTCCTGTTCCTCCTCCTCCTCCTCCTCCTCCTCCTCCTCCTCTCATCATCAGCATCATCAACATCATCCTCATAATCATCAGTATCACCACCCCCATCACCATACTCATGATCATCATCATGGACATCATAATCAGCAGCAGCCTCGTGCTCGTCGCCGTTATCATCATCAACGTCATCATCATCAGCATCATCATCATCATCATCATCATCGTCATCGTCATCGTCATCATCATCCTCATCACCAGCATCAGTGTCATCAACGTCCATATCAACGTTAACATCGGCATCATCCAATGCGTTTTCCTCTTCCTCGTTTGTTTCCCCCCCTTCTACCTCCGTCATCTTGCTCCTGTTCCTCCTCTTCCTCACTCCTCCTCCTCTTCCATACCCCTTATTGTGAAGGCCTGACGGCCGGTGCCGCCGACCCTGGAAGACATCGACGACGACCAGGAGGGGGAGGAAGAGGAGGGGGAGGGGGAGGGGAAATGTAGGAGGAGGAGGCAGTGATAAGGAGGAGGAGGAGGAGGAGGAGGAGGAGGAGGAGGAGGAGGAGGGGGAGGAGGAGGGGGAGGGGGAGGAGGAGGAGGAGGAGGGGAGGAGGAGGGAGGAGGAGGAGGCAGTGATAAGGAGGCGGAGGAGGAGGAGGAGGAGGTGGAGGAGGAGGATCCCATACCCCTTATTCGTCCTCGATCCCTCCCCCTCCTCTGCAGGGCCGAGAGCCCTCTGCCGCTGGCCCCACACAGACAGACAGCCTGCCTCTCGGCGCACGGAAGCAGGGGCTCGCTCTGGGCCTTCCGGTCTTCGGTCGGGCGTGTCCCTCTGCAGGAGGAATATTTCGGGGGCGGACAGAACCCCAAAACAGTGACACGTCGATTAGTGAACTGTCCGTTTTCGGTTCTCGAGAGGGCGCCGCGGCCGTTATTTTCCAGGCTTGCGCCCGCCAGGTTTGGGCCTCAGGTCGTTTTCACTAAACCACGTTTTACTAAAGGGAGGTCTGTCCATTCCCGAATATTCAAAAATAGTGTGGGGTCTATTCTTATACATATATATATATATATATATATATATGTTGGGATATTTTAGGGGTATGTCTTATTTGTCGCCCAACATCGGCCTGTAGGGGACCCGCCCGACCTAACTTTGGTGGCATCTTGGGGCCTCTCGGGCCTCCGGCGGGGCGTATTGGGCAATCTTGGAGCTATTGGGGAGCGTTTGGGAGGCCTCCAGGAGGCACATGGGGTCATCTTGAAGCCTTGGGCGTTTCGGGGGGGATGTGGCGTTTTTGGGGCATCCCTGGGTGATCTTGGCGACATCTTGGGGCTTCGGGGGGCTGTCTTGAGGCCGCCTTCGGCAATGTCCGGAGCTCTGGGGGCCGTTTTGAAGCGATCTTGGGGGAAAACAGGGGACGGGTCAAGCACATTGAACAGGCCCTGGTCTTTCCACCTGGTGTTGCTCCCTCGGAAGCGTGTTGTGGCCCTCCTGGGCCATCCTGGAGGTAGTTCAGGGCCGCCTTCGGCCGCCTGGGTCCTCGATGCGCCCCTCGGGGCCGCACTCGGAGCCCCGTTGGGCCATATCTTGGCCGCCCAGCGGCGTCGTCCTCCATGGGAACACCCGGGCCGCCCGGAGCGGCCGGGAGGCTGATGCACACACGTCGGGGCTCAAGAGACGGGGTCCATGCAAACGGGGGTCGGTCCGAGCGCCCGATCTTGCAGGACCTGGCAGGGCCAAGGGCGCACTGACCCGGGTCAGCGTGCAGGATCTTGCAGGATCTTGCAAGGCCCGATTGGCCCGGGTTTGGATTGACCTGGGCCAGTGGGCCCCCGAACACAAACACACACACAGACACACACACACACATAGACACACACACACACACAGACACACACACAGAGACACACACACACACACACACACACCGGGTGTTGATGTGTTGGCGCCCGGGCACCCCTCTGGTCTTGGCCATCGCTCGGACGTGTGCCATGTTTCCAGGCGGAGACCATCGAGGAACACCCTGGATCACCTGGCAAAAAAGGTACGCGCGAAATCGAGGAGTGCACGGGGACTGGACGTCCGAGCGACGGCGAGTGGTACAGTGGAGACCCATGCCAAGAAACACCCTACTCGCCTCCAGGGTGCCCTGGTTTCTTGGATTTCGATGGTTTTGCGATGGAAAGCGCGACGTTCCCACACCAAAAGTCCATGGACGTCGTGGGGTCTCAGGGTTGGGTTTCTTGTGGAAGGTTTCTTGTGGACTAGCCTCAAGTCGGGCCTGTCCCTCTACAGGGGGAATATTCAAAATTAGTAAAACCATAGTCTGGGGACTATTGTTTGAGCACGTTTTGGCCATGTTGGAGCATGTGTTGAGTATTTTTTTGTTTTTCGTCGAACATCCCCCTGTACACGCCCGCCCGCCTTAAGACCAGCCTCCACTGTAGACAGCATGCTGGAGACAGGACCGGAGAGACGAGGGGCACGGAGGCCAAAAGCAGCACAGGGAGCACCGGGCGGCAGTCCAGCAGCAGCCCTCACAGCCGGGCGCCCCCGGTGCGGGCCCCGGCGGACAGGCATGTCCAGTTCGTCGCGCCACCTCGCCTGACCTTCAGGAGGGGAAAAAGCACAGACACATCTCATCGTCGATCCCCCAGAAAATATGGGAAAATATGGGAAGTGGGGGGGAAGACAGAAGCCCAGAACATATGGGAAAATATGGGGAATCCGGTTATTTGTGTGTGTATTTATTTGTGCGTGTCCCAGGGCCCCTTCAATTGCCTCGCCACCTCCAATCATCGGAGGTGGCTAGACCTCCTACCCTGACACGCCGATCAAGGAATTGGGCGTTTTCGGTTCGCGAGAGGACGTCGCGGCCGTCATTGTTGCGGGTCAAGGTCCGTCGGTTTCGGTCCCGGGCCGTTTTCACTAAGGGGAGGCTTACTAAAGGGAGGCTTGTCCACAGCCGAAATTACCCCTGAGGCTTGAGACCTCCGACGGTTGCAGCGATGAAGGGCGGGTGACTCTCAACATGTGGTGCCCGCCAGCCTGCCTCGCACATTCGTCTGCAAGTCTCCCCAGCGGTCAGAAGGGCGGAGGCCGGTCCGCCGTCGAGTTGTGGCTCTCTCGCCGCCGCGCCGTGCACATCCGTCCAAACTGCATGCGGCGGTTACTATCATGGAGGGCGAAGGTCGGGCGAAGAGAACTATGCACATGCACCGATCCTGGCAAGGCCCATCCTTGACCCAGGATCGGTGCATATACCTTCCTGTCCAAGGTAGGAGGGCGTATGCACCGATCCTGGGCTCAGGATGGGCCTGGCCAGAATCGGTGTATGTGCATAGTTCTCTTTCCTCTAGAAGGGTTGTCAGCATGTGCTGTCGCCCAAGCGCGGCGCACATTTGCCGTACAACTTTCCCGCGGTTGGCGTCAACATATGGTTGGCTCGCCATAGCGCCGCACATGTTCGTCGTCGAAGCTTCGAACGGTCGCAAGAGGGGAGGGCCATCCCTATACGACATGGGTCTGGTACTTCAATGTTGCGCTTACGCCCTAGCGGCAGACGAATCT